ATTTCAACATCTCATATTACTAATTTACTAATAGTCTCGAAACAATACGTAATGCGAAAAATAAAGTTGATTGCTATAGCAAATATACGTTTGCTTCATCGACAATCCCACCAAAGAATGTGATATGGCAAAAAAAGACCTGGCCTTCCTTAAAATTCACATTTGTCCTGTGACCTAAGGGCATTCGTGGCAATTTGACTGAGTTGTTAACGTGTCAAACTCACATTCTGCACTGTCACGATTCGACTCCCGTTGGGGTTGTTGATAAGACCGATGCAAGGTCGAAACTGCAATCCATTTCTACTACCAGTCCTTCATGACCTTAATCGAAATTGGGTAAATACATTTCATTTTACTGATTTATTAGTATTACCGAGATTCTACTTCTATACGAAAAACAATAACTTGAGTCAGAAGTGAGTCAACTGAGTTCATTTAAGGTAAAGAATGACTGAGCTTTGTCATAATGCCATTGTGGGTTGCATAGCCGGGCTGGACCTTGCCTCGGTCCAATTAGCAGACCAAATGGGATTATAAAGTAGGTCATGAATGTCAACCCTTAACATTACCACTTGGCATGAAAGTCATAGGAAATATAAGATTACATCAACCTCCCACAATTCACGATTCTAATGGTGGTTGATGAGGCAAATTTTTGTGTTATATTGTTCTAAATAAGTAGTGAATACCAATCAAGCCTGCATCGAAAACTACTTATTCGGTTATAGTAGTGTCGCTGATCTTGCATGTTTGTCTTTTCGACACCAGTTCCACCATTAGAATGTGATAAGGGAAGGTCTCAAAACACTTCTCTATCTTAATATAATGATGCAAAGGTGATTTTTAAACCACATTCAAGCCTGAATAAGGAGACCTTTGAAGAGGCAAGATTTCGGTAGATTTAATGAAATCCTCCTACAGCCCAAACAACCACGACTAACTAACATTTCTATTCAAGCTGCAGTGATGTTTATTGTCGCATATTCTCATGGGGCGTTGTGTTGACGGAGGCCTGGCCTGCATCGAAGTCTTTCTCGAAAAGGTAAGTGAATAACTATTGCGTTCAAGTGCCTTTGTAGATAGAATGCCCTTTAAAAAATAGAAATGCGTCCGAGTACGTTGAACCCTTTACTTTAGGCCAGTCTGGGACACTTTATGAAGTCACAGCTTTGTTGTGAACATGAGAATTATTGGAGATGCATTGTGGTAACAGAATTTAATGAATTTTAAAGTTTATTTCACTTCGCTGACTAGCTACCTCAACGCTTTATAACGTTGTAGGATTAAAAGTTATCGTAATCTTACTTCCATTTCGACTGAAAGTGTTGGGTAACGAGATTCGAAGGTCGGTTCCACCAAAAGACGACGGCGGATTCCTCTTGACCAACTGTCGATTGGCTTTACTAAAAGTTTCATGCTGACGCTATTTTCAAGACAATCTCGTTCGATTCCGGTGAAAAGGTGCTAAGCTTTCGTCAATTCTATGACGGACATAGTCAAAGCAAGGAAAGTATCATCGTCACAACCAAATTCAAGCTAAAGAGTATAAAAAAGTAACCGGCAAATCCCTAAAAAGCGGTACATATTCTCTAAATCTGGCCTCTTTGATGAGGTATAAAGTAGTTTGGTTAGTTACGGTCATATTTCAACTTCGATGCCTGTAAGTGTGTCTGTCTCTGTATGTGTATGTGCCTGTTTGTGTTCGCTTATGCACGAAACAAGCAGTGATGGCTCCAAGTAATTAGGACCGCAAAAGTAACGTCTCTTCTCGACCATCAAGGTTTGATGACACCATCTACCCTTTTTCTACATACATGATTTAACCATCACTCCGATTGCGCAAGATAGGACACTCGTTTGGTTTTGTTGATTAGCATTTTAGTTATTTTGGTCTCAATGTAAGAGAGAAAGAGTAAACTAAAAGTGCAGAGAAGTGACTGATTAGAACCAAGACAAGAAAAAACTAGTTGCGCTACCTCCTTTTTGCAGGCGGCTCAACTCCCTCTCTTCCCTTCAGTCTATTATTTAAGTACAAATAATTTTTACTTTTCTTTTTGCTGATATTCCTTAGATTTCAATGGCTTCTCTAATTTTACGTTTAGCCGCAAACATGCAACACGACAAGTTTGAGACCATTCAATCTCGTGTCCCGTGTGCTCAGCAAGCCCCGAGTTTTGAACCCAACAACCTTTGCAAGCGCTTTTGTGCTCAGCCACGCTTTGTCAATGGGACGACAAGCCTCTCCAGCATACATGCGACCACATGAACACATTCTTTTTTAGCAAACCGATCTTGAGGATTGGTCAACTTTCTATCTAAAAGTGGGTATAACTGAAGAAGGTGTCAAGGTTTCCCTGAAAACCGTTTTTATTCACCAAATCCTTACTTGTTCACCTCTCCTTTGAGAGAGAGCGCACGAAGGTAAAGACAAAACATGATAAATCGTCTCCTTATCTCTCCTTACGTATTGACCAATCAAAAAGCTATTCTTTATTAATATACTGTTATTTTTAAATCAAGCCTGGGGGATAATTATTCTTAAGAAATATTAGTTTAAGCCGATTCACTTTATTTTCATAATGGTCTATATCAGCTAGTCTTATGCTTCGAATAATCATAGATTGTAAAAATCCAACCTTTGTTTTGTAACTATGATTGGAGAAGAAGTTATGGATAAAGCCAACATGCGTTGGCTTTCTATATGCATACCTGCTTAATCTCTCATCTGATCTGATCAATAAAACATCTAAAAGGGTAAATATTTGTTAATATCCATCTCCATTGCCAACTTAATATTGCAGTCAATCTGGTTAATTAAAAACAATAACTTATCTAAACTATCCTTACCATGCTGGCATATGGCAAAGTCGTCATCCATGCATCTAACTAACAGTTTGTGTGTCAATCTTACCTCTTTCATAAAGTGTTCCTCCATTCTTGACATGTAATTATTTACCAAAATGGAAGTCAAGCAAGATCCCATTGTTAGGCCTCGCACCTGTTCATAAACTTTATCATTAAGGTTGAAGTATGTGCTGATCATGGAAAGATAAAGAAGCCCTGAGATTAAGCCTTTGTTCATATTTGCCTCCCGAATAACTTCTGGGTGCTCATTTAGGCTGAATGGAAGTGCTTCAATAGTTTTCTGAACTGGAATGTTAGTATACATTGACACCACATCAAGACCAACCAAAGGATCCCCCTCCTTATTACTCTGATGATCTATTAATTTAGTAAATTCATATCAATTCTTAACTGAATATTTCCAATACTCAGCCAATTTCCTTAGTTGTCTACATAAGAAACGTGAAATCCTATGCATCATACTTCCCTTGTTATTAACAATCAATCTTAAAGGAACTCCTTCCTTGTGTACTTTTGGAAGGCCATAAGTCGAAGGTGCCCTATCCTCCATCTAAAGAAGTGAATTCATTTTTTTACATCTCAATTTCTCTTCTTCCTGCACAAACGTTAAGCGCTTATTTAAGTCTGGCCTTAAGACTCTATGTGGGATCCTTCAGTAAAAGTCGGTAAGTTTGTGAGTCATTTAAATGAACCATCATTTTTTCTATATAACTTAACCTATTCATGATGACCACTGCGCCACCTTTATCTGCCTTTTAAACAAACAGATCTTTTTGGTGCGAATATCTAGAAACTTTATTCAAGTCATACGATTTCTTTGGAACAATTAATTCATCAAAATAAGGAAGCACTTGTCTTTCTATACTTTTCTTAGTCCATTCTGGCAGCTTGTTTGTTAAGTTAATTAACTCACTCAGTATCTCCATAGAATGATTTTGCTCATTTGGAAATGCAAAGTTTAGACTAGCGTAAAATTAGCGTTTATAGTTATGCTGGATAAAGTAATAAATTTATTTTTGCTCGAAAAAATAGTACTAATTTTAACTACTTCCTTATTGTTCCGACGATTCCTTTGGCTAATTTTGATGCATAAATTCCTTAATCTCTTATCATCTCAGGATCTATGGATCTCATCCATCCTATCCGCTAAATCGTCCGCCATTTTCTGCAATTTGCGAAATTCTTCTTGAGAAAATAGTCAAGAAATGGATAGTCTAGTCCTAGTTTTGGTTCTAATCAGGTCATGCAATTTGTCGATACTTTCTTTCAGTCTAGACTGAACCAAACCACCTAATACATGCTCCAGTTTCCTATTAGTGGAAATAGGTAAATCTGGAGGTCTACCAAGAATACAAAATCTACGAACTGCATTATTTGAAATACAATTTTTTAAATTCTAATAGTATTAACTTGCCGGGATATATACTTCTTGGTTTCCGTATAGCCAGAAGAAAGTTGCTAAGAATTTATACCATTCGCCCGTCATATGATGGACATCATTAGAGCAAGGTATCATCGTCACAACAAAATTCCAGCTAACAAGTCAAGAAAACTCACCGGCAACTCTACATCTGGCCTCTTTGATCAAGTATAAAGTGATTTGGTTAGTTACGGTCATATGCCAGCCTCAAGCCTGTGAGTCCTTCTGTCTCTGTATGTGTATGTGCCTGTATGTGTTCGCTTATGCACGAATCCCGCAGTGATGGCTAAAAATAATTAGGATAGCAAAAAATAACGTTTGTCAGTGCGGGTGTTGTGCATAAGCAAACAAATACAGGCACATACAGAGACAGACACACTCACATCCATCTAAGTTGACATATGACCGTAACTAACCAAATCACTTAATACTTGATCAAAGAGACCAGTTGTAGAGTATATATACCACTTTTTAGGGATTTGCCGGTGAGTTTTCTTGACTCATTAGCTTCAATTTGGTTGTGACGATGATACCTTTCTCTGATGATGTTCGTCATATGACAGACGAAAGCTTAGCATCTTTTCACCGGAATCGAATAAGATTATCTCGGAAACAGCGTCAGCATGAATCTTCCAGTAAAGCCAATCGACAGCTGGTCAAGAGGAATCCGCCGTCATCTTCTGGTGGAATCCTCCTTCGAATCTCATAACTCGAAATGGAAGTAAGCTGAACAATTATGAAACAGGATATTCCTCGAAACCCAACTTTTCTTTGCATATATTAAAAGTTATTCTTTCACAAATACTTTAAGAGTAGCCCTGATTTCTTCTGCTTATTCCACCTGCCTCTAACCCAGGATCTACAGGTTAGGCCTGGCTTTTTCGGCCTACGCCGTAAGCCTCCGGTTTATGGTCCAAATCCCGGAAGAGGAGAGAGGCCAACGTCACATTTCGGTATGGAAAGTGAGGCTCTAAAGCAACACCATGTGTCCTATCACGAGTACGACGGATATTACCTGAAGCTCAGCAAAGTCGACTTGATTTATGCAAATGGAAACTTATAACCGAATCTGGCTATAAAATACCTTCACTTTTATTCTATTTTAACTCGTCACTTTAACTTATGAGACGTCGAAGAACAGATTTAATAGAAAAAAATCTAAGACCTCCTTGGACCAGCAACTTTTTAGAGCCGCTGCTAACATGGTGATATTGACCTAATCTCATGATTGTAGATTTCTGCAAAACATTCGCCAATCGGTATCTGACGTTGTGGCACAAATCTGGTGTTTTGCTCGTGTTTGCCAACGAATTGCATGGCCAGACTCTGACTTTTCGCTGCGCGAAAAGTTGCATTTCTCGCCGAAGCTTGCCTCCATCAACCTTATTCTTTCGCCATGCACGAGGACTTTGGAATCACGCTCGTCTGCCCCATTAGATGACATGAAATTTCACATTTGCATGTTCTCGGGTTCATTCAAGCATAGCTTGACCGCTGGCGGGGAAGTATAACAGCTTGAACTTTGATCTACCATAAATGAGCTCATTCTCA